TAGATAGATAGATAGATAGATAGATAGATAGATAGATAGATAGATAGGAGGGGATGTATGGGGGAAGAGAGAGAGAGAGAGAGTAAATGAAATAATGAATTCCACTACTGTGGCTTTTTAGGGTAATGTTGATTGCTCATTTGGCTCCTGAACTGCTGAGATCTGAATGTCACTGGTCTACCTGCAGAAATCTGGCCATGGGTTGGGGATAATGTTGCTTCCTGGCTCAAGAAGTACATGATATTTTAGGAACCATTTAGGGCTGCACTAATTTCTCGGTAACTGATGTAAACTAGTGACAGTCCTTACCAGCTGGTAGCCAGTCGCAGAATGAGTGTGTTGGGTCTCAGTTCGATTCTTCCTGGACACGTCTCGGTAACACAACACAAGCCACTGTCAGATGGCCTGAGTGGAATCCCCTGTGGAGAGTCTCAGCAAAGATGCCAAAGGTTTAATGGGATGTGCAGGCGGCTCTGAATCCTGCCTTACGCACTAGGCACGCTCAAGCACTATCAATTCACTGGAGGGAGGGAAAGTCACAAAGAACAAAATATATCAGCGTCTTGTATCTGCCCATGCAGCGGCACCGTTCCTAAACCCACAGGCTGAGATTCCAAGTGGAAAGGAGCCAGGGCGGCTTTGCTCCCAAGGCTAGACTGCAACAGGGGCCAAAATCGTCCCTCGTCTGAAGTAGGCAGCCCAGATCGCTGCTCTAAGTTATGGCTGCCTCTCCACAGTGTGTTGCCCTTCCTGGCCCATCACAACTGTGGAGGAATGTAAAGCCATGCCATAAGCCTCTAGAGGCCAGGGCCGCCCAGAGGATTCAGGGGGCCTGGGACAAAGCAATTTCGGGGGGCCCTTCCATAAAAAAAAGTTGCAATACTCTAGTAACATGTATTTGGCAATGTAAAAAATAACCAGTGAAATACATTCAAAAATTAATTTTTAATGATTTGATAATAGACAAAATACATTATTTAAAAACATTAAATGCTTTAATGGTATATATATACATTTGCAATTACATAATGGGCTGTCGCTGGGTGATGGTTGGTGCCAATGGGCTGTCGCTGCCTGGGTGTGGCGCTCTTGTTGCCCAGGGCTGGGTGGGGAGCTGGGCTCTGGATCGGGGGGTGCCCGGCTCCCAGGGGCTGGGCTCAGAGCTGGGGGCAGGGCTGTGGGGGGATGGGGTCAGGGGGTGCCCAGCTCAGAGGGGCTGGGCTCGGAGCTGGGGGTCAGGGCTGTGGGGGGGGACAGGGGGGTGTCTGGCTCAGAGAGGCTGGGCTTGGAGCTGGGAGTCAGGGCTGCGGGGATGGAGTCGGGGGGTGCCCGGCTCAGAGGAGCTGGGGGTCAGGGCTGGGGGGGGGTCAGGGGGGTGTCTGGCTCAGCGGGGCTTACCATGCTGCTTACTCCCGCCTCCCCCCTCTCCGGGAGCCTCAGCGTGCCGCGTCCAGGAGCGGCCCTGGACAGCGCTGCAGTGGCATGGCTCCAGCGGGGCGTGAGCTCCCGCTGCTCGGCCCGGAGCTCGGAGCCCCACCCCCTTACCACGCAGCTCTGAGCAGGAGGAACTCAGGCCCCACTGGAGCGACGCTGCTGCAGCGCTGTCCAGGGCCGTTCCTGGACGCGGCGCGCTGAGGCACCAGGGGAAGGCGGAGGCGGGGGCGAGCCTCTGACATTCTCGTGGGGGCCGCTGCGGGGCCCGGGGCCTGGGGCAAATTGCCCCACTTGCGCTCCCCACCCCGGCGGCCCTGCTAGAGGCCAGGACAGCTGGGAGGGAGATCCCTTCTCTAGGGTTTAAAGCCGGAAGGGATCATTGCTATCATCTAATCTGACCCTCTGCACAACACAGGCGAGAGAACCCACCCCGTGCTTCCTGCATCCAGCCCTTAGCATCCGGTGGAGCTAGAAAGAGGCATCTAATCTCAGGGTAAAGACTCCAAATGAGGGAGACGGCACCACGCCCCTGAGCCAGCTGTTCCATTGGCCACTTTCCCTCCCTGTTAAGAACGTGCCTCTAATTTTCAGTCTGAACGCGATGGATTCCAGCATCCAGCCGCTGGCTCTTGCTCTGCCATCGCCTGCTAGATGAACGCGCCCTCTAATGATCCCAGATCTCATCTCGTTCCTTCTGCTTCGTTGGCCCACACCTAAAATGGAATCCATGGTGCAAAGCAGCTCCAGAAGCCTCCTCTCCTCGCTGCATGCCCATGGGCCACTGAAGAAAGGTGATGGCGGGGGCATGTGTAGCAGGGGATGTGGGGGAATGAGAAATGGGAGGGTCTTGCAGGACCCCAATGGATTCATCATGGGCCCCTCAGAACAGGGAGGAAGGGAGGGCAAAGACTGATTAATTGCAGCCGATAAAGCCTCCTGGTATTTAAGATGCCTAGGAGGGAGTACTGCAGAAAGGGATTTGGGGGTCATAGTGGATCACAAGCTAAAGATGAGTCAACCGTGTAACGCTGTTGCAAAAAAAGCAAACATCCTTCTGGGATGTATTAGCAGGAGTGTTGTAAGCAAGACTCGAGAAGTAATTCTTCTGCTCTACTCCACGCTGATTAGGCCTCAACTGGAATATTGTGTCCAGTTCTGGGCACCACATTTCAGGAAGGATGGGGACAAATTGGAGAAAGTCCAGAGAAGAGCAACAAAAATGATTAAAGGTCTAGAAAACATGACCTATGAGGGAAGGTTGAAAAAATTGGGTTTGTTTAGTCTGGAGAAGAGAAGACTGAGAGGGGACATGATAGCAGTTTTCAAGTACATCAAAGGTTGTTACAAGGAGGAGGGAGAAAAATTGTTCTCGTTAACCTCTGAGGCTAGGACAAGAAGCAATGGGCTTAAATTGCAGCAAGGGAAGATTAGGTTGGACATTAAGAAAAACTTCCTAACTGTCAGGGTAGTTAAGCACTGGAATGAATTGCCTAGGGCGGTTGTGGAATCTCCATCATTGGAGATTTTTAAGAGCAGGTTAGACAAACACCTGTCAGGGATGGTCTAGATAATACTTGGTCCTGCCGTGAGTGCAGGGGACGGGACTAGATGACCTCTCGAGGTCCCTTCCAGTCCTACGATTCTGTTCTGCTATCACTTGCCGGGAAGGGTTTTCTCACCAAGTTAATTGCTGATTCTCAGGTTGGATGAGTGCCTGACAGTAGGGGCAAAGAATTAGTTTAATTGGCACGCATGTCTTCTCCTGAGCCCGCACTGCTCTGGCCGAAACCCACCACCACCCCTCAGGGGTGGGAGGGAAAAGAAATCAGTTGAGATATTGGATGTATCAAATTTCCAGGCACCTTTGCTCAATTCTAATTACATCAGAGACCTCTGGGATTTTCACCCAGGCCTCTCCACCAAGCGGGGCTGCTGGAGGCGCGACGTGGTTGTGTCAGACATTAGCTGCCTTCGCCTTCTTGGGCCCAGCACCGGCAGAGCCATGCATGGTGCCTTGCAGCCCACAGTTCGTCCTGCTGACTCTGCGGAGGGCTCAGCACTCTGGACAGCCGAGGCCCAGCTCTCAAACGTCCAAGCCTTTGCCGACCCATCCAGCCTTGAAGACTTTGGGAGCATAGCTGCCTACAGAGCGGAGAGGGGAAAGCCTTCGATTTCCCCCCTCCCCCATGACATGCTGGCTCAGTTCCCCTCCCTGCTCAGGGCCGAAGGCTTCCCTCTGCCATTTCAGGAGAACCCGAATGGTAACTATGGGGTAATCTGAAACAATCCAACCCCTAATGCAAGTGACCCTAGACAAAGGTGTGTGTATGAGCCACCTGCTCTGCAACCTGCCAGACCGGGTCAGATCCAGCCAGCGGCTAACCAGGCATCAGGCCTCTCTGAGCTCCTTGTCTCACCTCAAGGGACTCCAGCCCCTTTGTCAGTGGGGCTCAGGCTCCCAAGTGCCTAAGTCTCTTTGGAAAACAGGATTTGTGCTCCTAAGTCACGTAGGCCCAGATCCATGGCAGTTAGGCACCTAAATACTATTGAGAATCTAGGCCTTCGGTGCCTCTGAAAATGTGACAACCCTCCTGCCCCCCACCCTCCCAGGCCTTAATTATAAAAGCTCTGGGTTCAAAAAAGAGCTAGACAAGTTCATGGCGGATAGGTCCATCAGTGGCTATTAGTGAAGATGGTCAGGGTGCAACCCCATGCTCGGGGCGCCCCATAACCTCTGACTGCCAGAAGCCAAGAGAGGAAGAGGGGGTGGATCACTCCAAATTGCCCTGTTCTATGCACTCTCCCTGAAGCTCTGATACTGGCCACTGTCAAAGACAGGATACTGGGCAGGATGGACCATAATGTGACCCAGCATGGCAGCTCTTACGTTCTTCGGACCATCCTTCCCCTGTACATTGAGATTCTAGCCCAGATTTTCAAAAGTGGCCTGAGATACGAGGGGTGCCCCAGACTTCGGGTTCTCAAGCTGAGACACCAGCTAGAGGCTGGATGTTCAGAACTTGCTGATCCACCCATACTCTGGAAATCAGGTCCTGGGCAAGTGTCTCCTGCGAAGCATCCCACGTTCAAAGACCCCAAATCACTAGACATCTTTGAAAAGCTTGACCAGCCTTTCCATTTTAATGCTTGAGGGTGTTAGACATGAAACAGGGAAGGAGCTTTTAAAAAATGTCAGGCCTGATTTTCATTGATATCAAGGACAGCTTGCGCTGCATAAAAGGGCCTGCAAGTGGGAGTGAATTCCGTCTACGCTTACTTGGATGTCTTCCACACTGTCAGAGCCTTATTGTCGATGCAAATCAAGGCCCGTGAATTTTTGTCTTGAGATATCCTGGTGATTGGCTCCATGAGGTCTGTGCCAAGATCTTGTATTTTCCTTTTTTGCCACGTTCTTAAAGATTTAATACAAAGAAATTTTAAAACGAGACTCCCGCAGCAGGGCTGAGATGTTATCGAGTGCAGGCTCATGTGCACATTCGGTATCGGCTGCCTCATCTCCTTACAGGGCTTTCATGGCCAACAGCACCCCCTGTGGATTCATTGTGCTCCTCCGCCCCGGGCTCCTCCGGGCCAGGAAGGAGGCAGCTGCAGGTACCTGTGGGCCCTGCACTATAAAAAAGTTGTCGAGCAGTTGACTGGAATCTAAAGAAGGGCAGCCACATGGATTAAAAGAGGCTTGGGGAACCCAAACCCCCAGAGCCGAATGGAGAGAATCAGTAGGATAGAGTGGTTCAAAACGCTACGAAAAACCCAGCGGGAATCTAGCATGGCGTTTGCAAGCCGTCACTCTGCTCACGTGTTACTATATTCCTTCCTCCTGCCCTATGTCTGTCTTGTCTACAGAGACGGTAAGGTCCTCAGGGCAGGGACAACAATAACAATAGCGAGCTCTTTCGTCAGTAGGTCCCGAAGCATTTTACAAAGCAGTGACCCTCGGCAGCCACGAACTTCCAGCTTATCCACCGTTGTTGTGTCTTTTCTCCCTCAGAGGAAGAGCAAACTGCATTACCACATTGCCGTCATCATAAACTACCTGGGACACTGCGTCTCGCTAGGGGCCCTGCTCCTTGCCTTTGTCCTCTTCATGCGCTTGAGGTAAGAGACCCAAGAAGCCCATGGCGGGTGTCCGAGTTCTTTATTCTCCTCCTCTTCCTTTTTCCCGCCAGTGAGCAGCCAGAGATAGGTACTCTTGTGCGGCTCGCTGGGATTGAGATGGAAGAACTAGACTTGGTCAGAAACATTTTTGTCTCCATCTACATTTTCCAAGGAAAATTTCAGTATTTCAGCAGAAATTTGAATAACAACAAATTTCGGCCAAAAACCTCAATATTTTGATTTGGAAATGCCTCACGGGCATTGTAGTTCTGGTCCTTCATGCTTCCATTCTCTTCTATAGGCCAGGCTCTCTAATTGGACTACATCTCCCATGATGAACCACAGTCTTGGGGAGGAAGGGTGGTGCATTATGGGAGTCCATCCCAAGGTGCATCGTGGAAGATGTAGAGCAGCCGGGGAGCCTGGCCCATGGAGGACAGTGGGGACATTAGGCACCTGAACTACAGCTCCCATGAGGCATTGCGGCAGTAAATCGAAACTGAAATATTTCAAGTTTTGGCTGAAATATTTTGATTGGGCGCATTTTGTTTTTCAAAACAAAATTTCCAAGGAAAGCAGGCATTTTTCACAAAAACAGTTGTTTAGTTAAAAATCCGATTTTCTGACACAAAAACAGTTTAGACAGGAAATTTCCAAGCCGTTCTAGGAAGCACTGTTTTGAGCCCCTGCTCGCGTTTCCCATCTTGTCCATATTCCCCAACAGTCACCCCCCACAGACCTATAAATCGGAGAGCTTGGGGAACGGATCACTACCTCTTTGCCTGAAAGGTGAACTGTTTGTGGCTTTTTCCGCTCAGTCGAGTTGGTGGACAATTTTTCAACAAAACAATTTTTGTTGGAAAATTCCAATTCATTCAAACCAAAACTGTTAGTGGGAAAGAGTCTGATTTGACAAAGTTCCCATTTCAAAACGTTTCTTAAAAAAAAAAAAAAAAGATTCCAATTTGTCAAAACGTCCCGTGACGACACTTTCGAAATGAAAAGTTCCAAGTTGAAAATGACTTTTCATTACAAAATTTAAGCTCATTTGTTGTAAAAAAAACCTTAGAATTTTAGCATTTCAGTTGGTGGAAAATTTGGAATTTTTGACTTTTTGTCCCAATTCAAGATGGGAAAGTTTTTCAAAATTGCAAAATGTTCATGGGATTCTGACCGGCGCCGGGCCGGGCTGCGATGCTGGTGCTCAGCCTGGGAGACGTTCTGTGCTGCACGGGGCAGGACAGCTCAGGGACCTGAGTACAGGAGCTTTTACTCTTCAGAGCCAGGCCAGCAAACACAGCCTGATTCAAGCCAATGGGCGTTACTTGTCCCTGCAGTGAGAGACTAAGGCCCCGGGCTGGTAGTGACTGAAAGTGTTGGTGGCTCGGCTGCCTGTGTGAAATGAGTTGGGTGTGGAGAGGGAAGGAGACAGGCCTCCATCCCACAGAAACAACCGCCAGCACCAACAAAGAGCCAGGCGGGTTTACTAAGGGGACTTGGCTGGCATGTTGTCCTGGCTCACACAAACACACACACTCACTCAGAGGCACACGAACAGGGGCCTTGCAGACACAGAGCCAGAGGGATTTGCTCAGGAGATTTGGCCGGCATGTCCTGGCTCTCACACACACACACACACACACACACACACACACACACACACACACAC